TAAACTTAATTCCAAAGTAAGTGGGTGGTTTATAAGCTTTTTCATTAGGAATTAAATGTTTACATGGTCTTTTTAAAGCTCTTGTTGACATGGCAACTGTCAATTTTTTTTTTTTAAATAGCCTGAAAAAATACAAAATGGATTTAAACACATTTTCAGGAGCCTGTTATTAATATGAGTGTTCATGGACTTGTTTAGGTGTTTCATTTTCAACTAAAATTGTGAGAGTGACTAACTGAAAAACCGTTGTTGTGATTGTAATTTTATGTGTGAGAGACTAGTTTAACAGCAAAAATCAGCTCATGTGTGGTAGTTCCAGCTAAATCAGTTTTTTTTTATGGTGATTGTGTTCAAATAAAACACAGATTACAGTGTAGTAAAGCCGCAGACAGAGCAGAGCCCACAGTTAGCATCACACCCCAAAAGATTATTGATAAAACCAGCCAGAAATCATCAGTAGCTCCTTTAGAATCACCCAAAGCTCCTTCCAGTGCATTATTCATTCACTCCACAGTTGATCGTGGTAAGTTACAGTTGTAGGGTAGACCACTGACACTTTCACACAAGGGAAGGTGGGAAAAGCGTCTTGCCTAAGGACACAACAACAGTTTGCATTAGAGCCACTGCTGCCCCACTTTCGCACCTGGAATTCCCAGCGGTCTCCCATCCAAGTACTAACCAGGCCCGACCTTGCTCAGCGTTCAAGATCTCACTGGCCATCTGACTAAATATTTTCATTTTCGTTTGGCCTGTTTACCTTGAATTTTTGAATACTCTTTAAAAAAAAAAAAACAACTTACTTTTCTGTTGCAAACCTAACCCTGTGATTTCCCCAGTGTGGGACAAACTGATATCATTAAAATTCCCCTGGAGTGTGATTCTAACTATAGGCACTACTCTGTCTGGAGCTCTGTTAGACTTAAATCTGAGTTTTAACCAGAAAGAGTTGGTTTGGAACTACAGAACTACTGAGCTGATTTGTGCGATTAAAAAAGTCTCTCACGCATAAAATTACAATCACAAGTTAGATAGAATTAGCCAACAGTTTTCCAGCTACTCACTCTCACTTTTTAGCTGAAAATGAAACACCTAAACAGGACCATGAACGCTCGTATTGATCACAGGCTCCTGAAAATGTGTGTATATCTGTGTGCATTTTGTCACCATGGTAACGTCTACATGTAACTATTAGGGATGTAACGATATGCAAATCTCTCGGTACGATATTATCACGATTTGCATCTCACGGTACGATACTTATTGCGATATTTTGGAGAGGCTGATATGATTGTAGATGGGACACTTTTTTGATTTTGGTGTGAATTATTTCTAGCCTGATTCCTCAGCCGGATTTCACTTCGAAGAAACCTTCTGACCTTGCAGCGTTGGAATTTGTTCCGCTCGACAATAGACGGGTACTTTTTGTCATTTAACCAATCGCTGTTATTTGGTCGTATTTGACGTATGTAATGCGCTGCTAACGGGGCTAACTGGTATATTAAGCTTTTCCCAAATCCCATAGGAAGAAGGGCGATAATGTCTTTCCCCTTGATGAAATTCACCAAACATTCTCTTTGTTCCGGCTTTAAATCCTTGATCTCGGAAATCACGACAACACTGAATATATGACTCTTTGCTGATTGGCTGGTGCTCAGACTTGTACTTCCGAGGTTTTTGCGAACCGTCTATTGTATTTTGATTGCTGACTTAGTCACTGGAGAGAAATGAAATTGAGCGGAGACACTAGGTGGCGCCAACTTCTCTAAATTATTTCCACCATAATCCCAATAATTCAAGTAAAACATATTTCATAAACATAGACATATTTCTTCATGTTGTCTGCACTGAAATGAATCATGGGATATGTAGTTCCCTATGTTTATTAGCTGTTGCTACAATAAAACCATGCATTTAAGCAAAGAATCTTGTAATTCGATATATATATTGTGAGAGGCCATGATATTATTGTGAGACTTTTGACAATACAATATTACGATATTTTGGTTATTGTTACATCCCTAATAACTATACCTATCAATAAAGTGTTTTTTTCTTTTATCATATTTTAAAAGTGGAAGTAAAAGTGTGAATCTTTCTAATTGCGTGTACTATGAGTAGAGTGTGCAAGTGCACGTGAGCAGGCTGATGTAAAGTGAGTACATGCAGGTACAAAGAGCTGTCTGTCAGAGCACTCTTTAATTACGATCTTCATGCTTTGGCGATTATCCAGATTCCTCCATGTTTCACCTTCACTGCTTTTTGGACTGGCTCCAGACCCGAGCGGGGAGGGTGAAAATGTGCACACTTTGAAACATCAGCAGGTAGAGCACGCTGAGCCTAAGCAGAGTGAGCCCAGACTATAGGCGTTTGTATCACACAATCTGTTCTAATAGCGATGCTTGAAGGATTTTGTTTCTCTTACGAACTTTGTTAATCCTCAAGGGCAATTACTTGGACACAGTATAGCTGACACGTTATAATATACTAAAGGATCTAAAAAAAAATCTTATCAGCATGTGGCAAAACAGCAAATATGTGTCAAATGAAGTGCCAGCTTACACATACACTACAAACACACCCTCTCATTCATTAATTTTTTTAAATTTCTTTTTTAATACTTTGTACTAGGGATGTAACAATAACTGAAATATCATGATATCGTATCGTCAAAGTTCTCAGAATAATATCGTAGACCATCACAATATATCGAATTACAAGTCGCTTTGCTTAAATTAAGAGTTATGGTGCAGCAGACTACATGAAGAAATAACAGGTTTAATAATTTTTAAGTCTTAGTTCTTTGGATTAAGTCTTTTTTTAAGAGGAAAAAGTAGCATATTCACAATTTTGTCAGCCTCCACAAAGTATCGCAATAAATATCATACCGTGAGATGTATATCATGAAAATGTCATACCGAGAGATTTGGATATTGGTACATCCCTAATTGTGAGCTTTCCCACAGTATCACAATAAATATCGTACCGTGAGGTTCATACCGTGACAATATCGTATTGTGAGACTTGGATATCATTACACCCCTACTTTATACATTTTATATACATACATACATGGCCATACTTTCTTGTCAAAGCCTGATCCCGTCAGATCTCAAGAGGCTAAGCAAGAGCGGACCTGGTTAGTACTTGCATTGGAGACCGCTGGGAAATTGCACTCACATTGCCTAGTATAAAATGAGAGTAATGGTGGTGGTCGATGGCGCAGATTGGCATCCTTGCTTCCTTCAGTCCATCAGGGCAGCTGTGGCTGTAATAGTGGCTTACCACCGCCGAGTGTGGAGTGAATGAATAATGTTCTGTAAAGCGTCTGAGTGTCCAGAAAAGCACTATATAAAACTGATGCATTATGACGATTAGGGTTGTGGATTATTAAGAAGTTGCCGATATGATGTATACCTCTATCTATAGGCCACGATATGATACATATCTTGATACAGTGCACTTTTGATTCGATACGATATATTCCAAATCGATTCAACACAGTTCAATAAAAATGAAGGCTAAATCATGGCTGTGATGCTAAAAGTCTTCGTTAAACCACTTGTGAAAAGTTAATATGAAACACATTTTAATTATGAAAACAGTGAAAATGTCAAATGTGTCGCATAAACGAGATTCCTTCCTCTGAACAAATCTCTGTAACAAAATAATTTAGTAAAATATATAAAACAATACTCTTGGCGATATAGTGATACAGAAGCCCACGATATCGATACTGTATCATCACATTACACGACACGATATATCAATATTGATATTTTTGCACACCCCTAATTATGATGCATGAATATACAGAAAACATCAAATATATCAAGTAAAATATATGGAATTATATAGCAAACAAAAAAGTGTAATAGCTCCACATTTTATAAAGTAGCCGCCTTGTCTTTGTTGAAAAAAATAATAACTTTTTTCTTTTAAGCTTCGTATATTTGATGTCTTCTGTTTGCATCTAAAATGTGCTCAAAGTGATACTAATTAACGTGTCAAAAAGTAGAATAACTAGTAATTACCTGGAGTGTTTTTCATGCATAGGATACCTTTTTATTTTACTTTTGACTAGGCTGCATATTTAGCTGTGTAACTATATTTACCTGAGTAGAAATTTCACTTTCCCCCTCTGTAAATAATATATAAATAATTCCAGCAAACACCGACGCTTTTGTTTATTCTCGCTGATAGCGCAGTTGTTAATTCGCGCCTCCAAATGTCCATGTTGACATAACAGGTCAGTCCACAGAACGAGCCCCAGAGTCCCGTTACACGAGGCACAGTTCGCCCCTGCCTCTTGCCCGCTCACCTCCCTGACAGGCGGAGGAGAGTGGAGGCTCCGCACCATATGGTCCTCCGGTACAGTCAAGTGATGCTACCTGGCACCACCGCGCTTCCACGTGCACGCACACACACGCGGAGACGCACACAAGCACGCACGGGTCGCATATAGAGCGAGGGAGAGCGCGCGTGTCGCCCCTTGAAAACACTGGTGCCAATTGGTGCGCTTTGCTCCCCGCGAGTGAACACACAGCTCTTCTGAAACCGCGTGAGGAAACACAAAAACACGAAAGCGAAAGAGAGGGGGGGGAAAGCGCCACGCACGAGCCACACGCGCGCGCACGGAGGAGGCAGAGACTTGGCTCAGTGCGGATCCGCGCGAGCATCCATTTGACGACGATTACAGTTTAGAAGCGGAGGAGACTGCGAGCATCTCTCCAATCTCTCTCCGCTCTCACTCTCTCTCTCTCTCTACCTCCTTCTCCTCATCCTCTTCTCTCCCTCCTTCACAAGTCCTAGAGCGCGCGGCGAGCGGAAAGACACTTTTAACCCTCCTCTGCATTTGATTATCATCGTTGTTTACTTGCGCCGAGAGGAGAGTGCACCTCGAGTGGGAATAGCCGCGGAAAGACGCACGGATTACCCATAACCCCACTCACAAGTTTCTACACTGGAAGTTGCGCATTGACGAGCGGAGCAAAGAAAAAAATATGGGATTTAGTGGCTATTTGGCTGCGCCTGGGAAATGCCTCGTGGTGCTCGGACTTAAATTGTTATTCCTTGTACCTGCAGGAGTTCCGGCGCGAAGCGGGGACTCCGTATTGAAGGACAACATCACCGTAAGACAAGGGGACAGCGCCGTGTTAAAGTAAGTGCACTGCTTCTCCTCTCCTCTTTTCTCTCCTCTCTTTTCTTTCTCTCTCTCCAACGCGCTGTCCATTCGTGTGCAGCGGAGTTACTAAAGGTCATCCTAACCTACATCCCGCTCTGAGCCTTGTTAGATTGTACAGTAATAAGTTGGAAGTGCAAAAACTGTCCGGATTGCGCTCAATGCCCTTGAATGATATTGATCCGCCTGGTTAATGTCTTGTTGGGGATGCACGCAGCTGCGAATGCGTGCGTTTGCTCTGTATTGATCGGAGCGTGCGATACAAATGCAATCATGTCTGGAATATTTAGAGCTGTTGTGCTTGGCTGGAGTCGGATTCAGAGCCCCGTAGGTTTTAAAAGGCTACCCAGGGCTCCCCAGTACAGACTGAAAGCTTCTACTTGGGTAAATACGCGTATTGACGTGTTGTATTCAGTTAAGGAATAGGCTACGATGTTTTGAGGGAGAGAAACTTTTAAGTGGTAGCCTGACATGTCTGCAAAATCCCGTATGCTTGAGGACAGTTTAGATATTGACGATCATGCACAATAAGTCAATTTTTGTCTTGCTTTTTAAAAATGACATAACAAACTTGGGTTACTTTTTAAAATTATTTTTAAATCAGTCATTCAAATGTCATTCGAGGACATTCATAGCTCAACAGATAAAGAATCTACAGTCTGTTTCGTGGTAATTTCTGTGTATGAAATGTCTTAGGAGCCAGGTTGCCAGATCCCACTCAATCATCCCTCATCCCGCCTTATCTTTACTGTAATCCTAATATTCCTACAGTAGGTGCGTGTTGCTGACTGCGTGTAATGGCTTCCTTATCTCCTTCACCCTAGCTGTGATATCCTTGTGTTTTTTAACTTCGAGTAGAGATGTGTGTGTGTGTGTGTGTGTGTGTGTGTGTGCGTGGGTGGGTATTCAAAACATGTGATTGGGCGTTGATAGACCGCCCCTTGCCAATACTTATACATATTACACGGATTTATCAGATGGGGATGACAGAGGAGGCAGTTGTGTGGGAATAGCACGTTTTGTGTTATGAAAGAAGATATTAGCAGTAAATCAAAGCTTGCTTTTACCCATCATGCCTCATCTCCAAGGTTGCACATACCTTAGGCTGTCAATGCTCGGCGGCGTGGTTCATTTGGGAGACACTGTTTAAAGGCTGAGGGGAAGAGAAGTGAAAAGCTGTGGAGTCTGGATGGTTCAGGGAAAGAGAAAATGCACTGAAAACGTACCAGTATACTGAACGCTGAAGGCTATAATGACTCTGACTACTTATATAATTATACATTGGTGATATTTTATGATGCTGTTTTGACATATAAAAGGATAGTTACTTTTTGAACCATTTGAAAATTTAACAAAAACCAAAACAGGACTGTAAAGCGAATTTTCTGAAATGCTCATGTCCATTTGACTTGATACTCATTGTGGTTTAGTTCTAGTTTAATCCTGAATCAGTTCTGGTTTAATCCTGGTTTAATCCTGATCTTTATTGCTGATCTTGTTCTCTTATTTTCTTTCTTTTTTAATGTTTATTATGATGACATAATCCACTCATTTTGTAATACTTCATAAAATAGTTTTCATTTTTAATCAAATCACAAATGTATGAAAAACTTTATCATTGCAATATATTTAATTCCATGCAAAGAGAAATCGCTGTAGCATTGAATTTTAAACTAAGTCTTTGTGTCATGAATCTGAAAATGTAACAAGAACTGTAAAGAGATTTTTTGAAAATACTTCTATACACTGTTTTAATGCTCATTGTGGATTAGTCCTGGTTTCATTCTGGTGCAGTTCTGGTTTAGTCTTGATTAATGCTCATTATCTTCTTTTCTGTCTTTAAAGGACCCATATTACATAATTTTGTGATCTATGTTATAATGTTGTTTCCTCATCAAAAACATGCATAGAGTTCTGTTTCTTGGAGTCACAAACTTTGCATATTTAGGCAAAATTCTTCTCTCAAAACAGAAAACACTTCCAACACTTCCACCTTGTGATGTCATGTGGCAATCCTGCTGAAAAAAAGCTCAAATGTCACTTGAAAACTACCACTTCATGACATCACAAGGTGGAACAGAGCATTTTGAGCTTTGGAAATGTAGACTAATAAAGCGTTACTCAAATTTCCTGGTATGTTTTTGATTGAGGTAACATTATAACATGGCTAAAAGCTCAAGTCAGTTTTGCCTAATATAAGACTTTTCAATGTTTGAATGCCACAACTTTATCTACCTTTTTAAATTTTTGTGCAAAACATTATTATTCCAGCATATTTAATTCCATACAGTACAGAAATAGCTATAATGCAGAAGTAATTTTAAACTAGGTCTTGCCATGGTGAGAAAGGCTTTGGATTGCAGGCTAAAGCCGTCTTCACTGCTTGGTTTTACAAATGACTTGTGGCCTCCGCTGATTAGTCTGAGTAGTTAAGCGTGCCTCAAAGATTCATTAACACAGACATTTATCTCCGTTCAGAAAAAAAGAAAAGAAAAAAAAAGTGTCAGACTGGAAATCCATTGAAATGTGCCTGCAGCTCCTTCGTCACACTGAGCCAAATGGTTATCTGAGCTTATCTTTGCACAGTGAAATGATCGCAACGGATAAGGCATCAGTTCTCAGGGTTTGACGTATACAGAGGTAGGTGTGGAGAGGGAGCCAACACAGGGGATCCAGGAGAGCCTCGATTTGCATTTTAGTTGAGTAAAAGTGCATGAATAATTGACTAATTTCTTCATTTTTTTTTTTTTTTTTATCAAATAGTACCTTAAAATCCTTCCATGTAATATATTTGCCAAAAAATAAAAGCATGTTGTTTTTGTTGCATTGGCCTGCTTGTCTCCATGGAAATGTTGTCCCTCTGGCTAAAATATTCCACAGTATGGCATAAAACTTATCTATCTCCATGGCGAAGGTTTTGAAGTATGATTTTTATACAGTGATGCTTTAAAAAATATGATTGGTCTAACATTGAAAAGAATTACTTACAGATACTTATTACTGAATATTATGTTTATACATTTGTAACATCTTTAAAAGTGTGCTATGTAACATTTCTCTTGGAGGGCCCATTACCTTAGCCAAGCTGGCACCACCTAGCGCCTCCATTCAGTTTCATTTCTCTCCAGCGACTAGGTCAGGATTCGAATACACTAGACGTTTTGCAAGGACCCTGGGAGTTGTAGACCGCACACCGGCCAATCAGTGAAGAGCTGTGAAGCCATGATGTCAAATTCAAGCTCCTGTCTGGGTCCCTTTTGTGGTACAGCACAACAGTAAACAAAGAGGTCGAGATGGATGTAGACGAAGACAGACATTCTGTGTTGGCAATGATTCCCGAGATCGAGGATTTAAACCTGGAACAAAGAGAATGTTTGGCGAATTTTAGTAAGGAGAAAGACGTTATTGCCCTTCTTTCTACAGGATTTGGCACATTACATACGTCACGATCAAATAGCAGTGATTGGTTAAATTTAAAAAAAAAGTATTTGCCTGCTGTTGAGCGAACGAATCCTAATGCTGCGAGGTCAGATGGTTTCCACGAAATCAAACCGGCTGATGAATCAGGGTAGCATTACCTGCTGTCCTTGGAGACAAGCAGGTGAAGTCACAGAGCCAAGTTTTTTTTTTTTGCAGTAAATCTCATGTAATGTATGAATAATGCCATACTGTGGAACATTTTAACAAAAGAAATAACTCCATGGAGATGAGCAATTGGTGGACCCTCCATCCACCAAAGTTACAGAGTGCACCTTTAACACAACATGCATCTTTCTTTTTTGTTCAAAAAAAAAAAAAAAAAAAAAATTATGTAATTGTATATACCCCATTTGGGATGCACCGATCTAGCTTTTTCAGTTCCAATACCGATATCAATGCTATGACTTAACATATCTGCTCACATCCGATATAAACCGATAATAGTGAGGGAAAATGGCGCAGTTAACTTAGTACACTAAAGATCCAATTATGTTTTGTAACTGTTCTTTATCCTTCAAAGAACATTATGAGGCCTTCTAGACGACAATCAGCCTGTACGTAGTCTTGTTACATCTAATTAAAGGCCCAACCAGGATATCGACTTAACCGATATCATGAAACCGATACCTGATCTTGCAAATATTTCAGTGTCAACACGGATATTCAGTACTAATATTGCTATTCCCGCATCCGTATACCTCATACACTTAACTCACAAACAAACCCTGATACAATTTGATCTGTTCACTCACAAAGCACAAACTCAATTCACCATCTGCACCAGTTGTTTCCTGGGTATTCCCTCTGCTCTTCCTACATGTCTCCGCTCCGGCTCTAGTGCTGTGTTCTCTGGTAACTGAACTCTCTCTTTGTCTGTCAGGGAGGCAGCCAGGCCCCATCTACTAACCCCCTCTCCTGCTCCAAAACACACACAACACACAACCCGTACACTGCAAAAACAAAAAAGAATCCTGGTAAAGGGTGTGAAATCAGAATATTTTTAGTGATAGTAGTAATAGTTTTAGTTAGTGCTAGATTTTTGTGTAAACATAATCAAAGCAAGGTAAGATGCACTATGACATTTTTTTCTGCTTGCATATATTATTGCTTTACTTGGAATGTTTCACAATACACTTTAAGCTTGCATATTTAGCATTCGTTTAATTATAGGTGTTTTGTACATGCATACTGTGAGCGGGCTTTCTTCTCCACAGATCTGTCCTGTAAATGTGGCTTTTTTAGTATCAGTATCTGCTCAATTGAGGAGCTAATTTTGATGCTAGTTTTAGTGTTTAAAGGGACAGTCTGGAATTTTGAACATAGGACCTCATTTCCTAGTTAGTCAGTGTTGGAGACGTGTGGAGACACTTCTTTAAATATTCCATCCAGTCCTTGTATTTGCAGAGGTCGTTGGTGCTAGGCTAGCACATGTCAATGGCCATAGTTATCCTGCCACTAAAAACAGTCTTACCCACTCCACAAAACACCTGAAGCAAATT